ACTCGAATATTTTATTTCTCCCCTCCCCTTCAGATCAAAGATCGACAGATCGAAAGAAAGGATTTATTTTATGCTTTCGATGTAAGCTATAATCGATATTTACCAGAGAGTAAAAATTTTCCAGAGCTTTTTCGTATCGATCGTGTGATAAGAACGACGACCAGTTTCCGTGTTTCCAACCGCAAGATGTTGACATTGCGAATTTATCAACGATTTTTTTCCCTCCCGCCCGTTATTCTTTTTTCTTTTTTTCTTCTTTTTTTTTTTTTCGCGCCTCGTCAGAGATGCAATTTATAGGGATGCCAAAGTGCAGTTCGATGTTCCCATCCGGTTCGAAGTGTCATCAGACATGGATTTGCGCGTGCGAAAATCGGTGTAATTGACGTATATATTCGGGAGGGGAAAAAAAAAAAGAGCTTGTTCCGAACGAACGGAGGAAATTATTCGCGGTTTTCTCGATCGTTGGCGTTGCGTCGCAACACGCTAGTTCGAGCTATTTCGACCGTTGGAAAAATGATAGGAATTTGCCCTGTTACCTGTCGTCGCTAAATCCTCTTCTCGTCCCTCGAATAAAAATACGGAAATCCGTTACACTTCGGAAAGGAAATGTTATACTCGTACGAGCGTTGTGTGACGTACCACCTATTAAATGAGAGGTGTAAATGTAATTACATTGCATATGCATGATCCTTCCCCCTTCCGTCTTAATAGAAGCACGAAAGGGAATAACACTTTGCTCCTGACTCGCTTGTCAACGACCAACGACATATCGGAAAATCGTAGATGATCTTTCCGGTATGCCTTTCTGTCACAGTTTCGGTTCAAAGGTGGAGCGAGAAGGCAACAAGTTTTTTCGCCAACTATCTCTAACGCGCAATTATGAATAGAATATATAATCCTCTTACCAACTCGGAGAAATGCCTCTGTATCTTTCTCTCTTTGGATTGCTAAATTAGCGTGCGACATGTCGCCAGAGAGAGGTACGCTAATCAAAAGATAATAGTATTGACAGAACAAATTTACAATCCACTTATGCAGTTCTCCCAGGTGGAAAATGCGCAGCCCGGCTCTCGAAAATTACAACTAATCCGTGAAGAGAAAATTCGTATATATATCTACCACCGTGACAGTTTGATTTATTAAACGTAGATATTATAATGCTTCGTTTGAATTATTTTAATATTTTTCCTTCGAAACTGCGGAAGCTTCGTAACTAGTGGAGAGAGAGAGAGAGAGAGAGAGAGAGAGGGGGGAGAAAAAAAAAAAGATAAAAAAACGAAAGAAAGGGAAGCAAACGTTGCAGGAAATATTTTGGTCGTTGATGTTCTCGACGA